TTCATACTTCGTACATTCCATGTTCCAATTTTCAATGGATGTTTACAGCTGTTTCTCTTCATTTTGAGTTGTGCCCCATCAGCAAATGAAGGTCCTGTGGGCTTTTCTCCCACAAGCTTTACTCCATTCATGTTATCATGGTCAACTCTATTTTGAGGAGGCAATTCTTCTGCAGTTGCATTTTGAGTGCCTTCCAACCTGAGGGACTCATTTTCTGGCACTATATCTGGCTGTTTTTCTGCTATTTATTAAGTTTTCAGTGACTAAAGATTCGGAAGTAGTTCGTTACTCTTTCTTCCTAGTCTGTCTTTGTCTGGAAGCTCATCTGAAACCTGTCCACCATGGGTGACCTGCTGGTTATTTAAAATACCAGTGGCATAGCTTTCAGAATCATAGCAACTCACAAGCCACCACAGTACGACAAATTGACAGACAAGTGGTGGCCGTTTGGTTTTACGTGGAAACTGTCACTTTAAATTTTGAGATCTGTGCGCATGTAGTAGAACCCTTCAGGAGTGGGGGTGGGGTATCCATTCACTCAGGCATCCCTCTAGTCATCAGAATGGAGGTGTGCAGACAGTGAGAGACCCATGAACAAGCATCAAAAAATACATGTCCACATCTATATCGTCGCAGTTCTGTCAGGCGTTTGTGGCTGTTCTGATCTTTCCCCTACTTGGTCTCTCCCAAGATGGTGGCTCTGGAAATAGCTGTGCATCTTGAATTAGAAAGCAGTGGGTTTCTTGATTCTGCTACAAATTCCCCTAGCTGTAAGCCTTCCAGTCTTCTAAATATTCCTTTATATGTGGTTCAGAGTTCTAGCACCGTCCTCTGAGTCTTCTTGGCCTGGTATTCTGTGTTGTTGCTGATGGAGCTCCTCACTGCAATGCACTTATCCTTAGGTCTCACTTTACACATTAACTCTTATAATAAATTTCTGCTCACCACCCCACTCTTGTGCTAGTCTCCTCTTGCTCCCGTACATAGCACGGGTACTTCTATCCATTGGATTGGTGTTTGTCCTTTTACTAATTTGCATATGCTATTTGACTTAAAAATTTGTGTAGTCAGGATCTATATTGATATAATCTATTGCTTCCTTATTCCTTAGAACAATCTGACATATGGCATATACATAATAATTATTATTTGGTGAGAAAATGAGCCATTGTACAGAACTTTTTACATCTCTAAATGTATTCAATACACAACAAAGTAATTTTCTTCAATTTATTTGAGCTATTGGATGTTTTGAGTTGGAACCAACTCAATGACATGGAACAATAACAACTTTGGATGCTAGGATTATAATTTATCTGTCTCTTTCAGTTGATGTCCCCCTCCAGAGTTCCCTGATCCTGTCTATTATAGTCCTGCATATGTATGGTAGGAGGGGCTGGGGTTTGGTCTGTCTTCTAGCTTTGTTCTGTTGTTTTACAGAAGAGGGAAATGAGGCTGCTTTCAGACCCAGTTATACATTACACTATTTCCCTAAATTGGACCTGGCCTTTATTTGGTCACCTGTGAATGGCACAAAACTGGAGACTAAGCAGAAATCATTTTAATTTTATAACTATTGAACTACTAGCTTCATTGTCTTGACATTAAGCTCAGCAAGCAGAGGTGAAGTAGTCTTCAATTACCTCATAGTTATTTCCTGCTCTACTTTCAGGTTATTCCTTACCTCTGCCTCCCCTTACTTTATTGATTTGTTGTTGTTGTTGTTAAGTGCCATCGAGTCGGTTCCGATCCATAGCGACCCTGTACAGGGTTTCCGAGGGTGTAAATCTTTATGGGAGTAGAAAGCCTCATCTTTCTCCTGCGGAGCTACTGGTAGTTTCGAACCGCTGACCTTAAGGTGGGCAGCCCGATTCGTAACCACTATGCTACCAGATATTGAATTGATTTAGTGACTCAAAAATTGTTTTTTGACTAAAACATTAGTCAACTAGTTAACTTTTGCTCCTAATTCTTATTGTAGGTTCCAACCAGTGGCCAAATCGTTTGGAGTAGCTATGATCTTGTTACTTGTCTTTGTACTTACCTGGCTTTGTGCTTGCATGCACTTACAAATCTAGGCGCACTTTAATATCAATGTCTGCTATTAAAGAGATAGAAGAGCCCTGTGGACCCCTGAGAACTGATTGTGTAACTACCGAAAACAATGTGACAAATGCAAGTCAGGCACCAGGGAATTCCATGACAAGAGAAGAGAAAGGAAAAAGCTGAGACTCAGGATAGAGGAAGCTGGTGTGCAATCAGAGATATGATGGCATGTTGGCTGCATGAGGAAGGAGGTCCAGAGGAGGCAGGCAGTTGATTCAGGAAAACTGTGAAGGATATTGTATTGACCCAAGGAAAAAGAGAGGAAACTAGAAGCTGTGAACACATTTCTGAAAGAGTCCCTGTGATAGGGAAATGGCCAGAAGTGGGTGATGGAAAGAGGAACTCAGGACTTACCCTTGACAGCAAGGCTGACTGCCTTACTATGATGGGTCCCCAAGCCATTGGTAACTGAGCAGTGGTATTGTCCAGAATGTCGTGCAGTCAGATACAGACTGAAGTATTTCATTCTACTTTGAGAGATTTCTGATGTCAGGATTTCATCCTCATGATAAAGCTTGAACATGATGGGCAAAGAACCTTTTTGGACTTCACAGTAAAATGTCACCTTGTCTCCCTCAAAAGCTTTGGCACCAGGAAGTCTGAGGTTGAGGACAGGCTGAGATACAGGGACTGAGGAAGAGAAAACAATTTGTCAATAGCTGTTTCTGTTTTTACCTTAGGTTTCAATTAGTTGTTGTTGTTGTCAGGTGCCATCGAGTCAGAACCGACTCATAGTGACCCCATGCACAGCAGAATGAAACAATGTCCGATCCTGGGCCAACCTCACTACCGCTGCCACACTTGAGTCCATCAATGATGTCACCTGGCCAATCCATCTCGTTACGGGTCTTCCTCTTTTTCTCTGATCCTTCACCTTACCCAGCATGACATCCTTCTCCAGCGACTGTTTCCTCCGGACAATATGTCCAAAGTATGAGAGATGAAGCTTAGCCATCTTGGCCTCCAAGGAGCACTCTGGCTATACTTCTTCCAAAACAGATCTATTGGTTCTTTTGGCAGTCTATGGCACTTTCAGTATTCTCCTCCAACACCACAACTCAAAGGCATCAATTCTTCTACGATCTTCCTTATTCACTGTCCAGCTTTCACATCCATATGAAGCTATTGAAAACACCATGGCCTGGGTCAGGTGCACCTTAGTCCTCAAGCTGACATCTCTGCTCTTCAATACTTTAAAAAGTTCCTGTGCAGCAGATTTGCCCAATGCAATACGTCATCTGATCTCTTGACTGCTACTTCCATGAGTGTTGATAGTTGATCCAAGAAGAATGAAGTCCTTGACAACTTCAATCTTTTCTCCGTTGATAAGAATGTTGTTTATTGGTCCAGTGGTGAGGATTTTTGTTTTCTTGACATTGAGATGTAATCCATATCGAAGGCTGTGCTCTTTGATCTTCATCAGTAAATGTTTTAAGTCCTCTTCACTTTCAGCAAGCAATTCAATTAGTGGACAGTGGAAATCACAGTCTCCAGTCCTCACTAGACCCTTAAAGTGGCCCAGGACCCTGCAGATGATTTCTCTCCTGGAATTTCGTCTTTTTCTTTCCCATCAGACTATTGGCTCCTCCTCTTCTCTGGTGTTAATTAGATGACTTCACCCTCCTGATTGTCAGAGAAAATGAAGCACTCAGAGAAGAAGTCCTGTATCTAATGGCCACCAGACTCATACCCTTACCCTCATTGACTACTTCCTTATCTCTTAACTATGACCATGAGAGAATCTTCCCTCCTTTTGCCTAAGTCATTCTGAGTCTTTTTCTAGTTCTACTTGTCCATTTCTCCCTTTACTGGGATTGATCTCAGGGCTCTGCCCTGGACTCTTTTCCCTTTCAGATTCTCAAATTCTTCCAGGACCTTCTCCTCTGCTCTCACACTCTCCCTGAATCCAGCTATTCTAGTTACAGTTGAAAGAACTATGTCAGAGATGAGCTAGGAGACCAGTCTATGACAGCGTGGACCTACGTCTATCTCCTGACTCCTGGGACACTGTTGAATCACTATCTCCTTAAAAGAGATCCTGGTGTTTTCCATGAGTGAAGAGGAAAGCATCAAGCTGAGATTCACGACTTCATAGAGCTGTTTTCCCCTAACTACAACTCCAACAGCTTTGAAGACAAGATGACATTGGATATCGGAAACTGATACTGTCTCAGTTCCTACCATCCCCATAGTTACATCTGTGATGTTACTACCTGTCTCTTCCTACTACATGGATTTCAAATTGCTTAATGCTAAGAATTAAATGTTAATTGAGGCACAGATGCCTTTGTATCACTGGGAAAGATTTTTGGAAGTTATTGAGAACAATAGCAAACCCCAATAGTCACTATGATCTAGAGGACAGAAGAAGAAAGAGAGAAATGCATTAATTCTATAGAAGCTGGGAATCAGAAGAAAGATTTGAAGAAGCACTCAGGGGTGTGATGGCAACTGGGCTGGTCAAAGAATGAAGCCCACAAGACCAGATGTTTGTTTGGAGAACAGTGGGACATAGAGAGAAATTAGGATGGCTTGGAGATAAAGCAGAAAGTATACAAGAAGAAACAAATTGTAGTGAGAGAAGAACTGTCACCAAGAATGACTGGACTTTTCTTTATTGACAGGGGAATCAAGAACTAAGTATTATCTTAGCCAAGTAGTGCTGAACTCTGTGATTTCTCTTAGGCCAGAAATTGCCGATCGGTACTAAATTTGGATCTACCCACCTCCTGAACTAAAAATGTGAGAACTCCATACTATGAGTTCCTTCCTAATGTTCAAGAAGATTTCTCATGAGACAGATCAAATTTAATCAGAGAAGTATTTGGGCAATGGTTGGTAGTCATACTTTAGTAACTACACAGTCTTAGAGGCTTAGGCAAAAGTAACAATGCTATCCCAAGTGACATCAAGCTGTAATCTAGTTTACTCCCAACGCTTTTGGGATAATTATTAAAAGATGGGATAAACAATGGGGTGAACTAAATAACTGGTTTTTTGTTTCCTACAGCACCATTAATCCTTGGCTTCTGTTCAACTGACTGAGAGCAGAGTCCTTTTAGCCTAGTCAGATAGGCTGGGTTCTTTGTCATAGGCCACGGTTAATGGCTACAGGTCTAGCAAAAAACACCTGCTGTCAGGGTAGAGAACCTTCAGAAAGACAAGAAAGAGTTGAATCTCATGGCACTGAAAGAAAAAACAATAAATCTTACGTCTCTACTTGGGCTTTCTGGTTATAAGCTCTTTTGAGATACCAACAAGAGTTGAGATCTCTTTTCTAATGCAGTTCCTATCCCCATGGGCAGGAACTAGTGGCCCAAGTTCTTATACAGTGCTGCTTCTTTCCCTGCCCCAGCCTTATTGTTGTTGCTAAGTGCTGCCGAGTTGGTTCTGACCCATAGTGACCCTGTATAGGGTTTCCAAGGAAAGATTGGTGAGTTTGAACTGCCAACTTTGTAATTCAAACTGACTTGCAGTCCAGTGTGTTACCCACAGTGCCACACCAGGACTCCTGCTCCAGCTTTAGCAAACCTCACAGCCCATTGACACTTACTCTTTGCACCAGGTATCTGGACTTTATGGCTTTGGTTCTCTATGTTAGAAGTCACGGTCTTTACACTGCAGGAGTAAAGTCCTGTACTCCTTATAGCAGGGATGTGGAACTCCGAGGACAAACTCCAGTCTGAACTCAGAGCTTCTGTATCTTTGAAGAAGCGGAACTGGAGCTGGGTGTCTGACCTTTGTGGAGCGAGTTGTACCTCACAAATCAGGGTCACTGAGGTCCTCTCCGTGGGTCTCAGGGGTCTGGTTGTCAGCACAGGAGTTGAAAACAATTCTAGAGGAAAAGGTTACAACAATCCCCAGAATAGTGAGACTCAGAACTGCTCTGGAGAGACACAATTTATTCTCAATTCAGTAAACAGAACACACAGGAATAGCTAAAGAAAGGGATGACATTACTTCTTAACATCCTTTAGTCCAAAGTGCTGTTACATCCTCTTTGTTCCTTACAGGAATGCACCTGGAGTTCCATGGTATTCCAGTCTACCTTTCTTTTCCTGTTCCACCTCTCCAATCCCAGAAACCTTCTTATGACTAATCCATTTAACAAAATAATGAAGACTTTACCTTCCACTTCGATTTTAACTTTGTTTGAATAAATTAACATGTTAGGTTCCTCAAATCCTTGGCAAATATAGTAACCATTGTTCTTTCTACTTGCTTGATGAATCTGGCCTACTGACTTATCAAAAAAGTCTTTCCCATTCTTGTTAATCTTTAGTTTGTTCAGCACTACTCCCTTATTTGCCAGACATCTCAGATCCACGGTGTCTCCTTGAAATACAAAGACTGGAGCTTGCAGGATTAATGGTGCTGTAGGAAACAAAAAACCAGTTATTTAGTTCACCCCATTGTTTATCCCATCTTTTAATAATTATCCCAAATAGATTCTACAGGAATGGGGGCTGGAAGAAAGGATTCTTAAAGTAATTGTTATTTCTTTTTTTTTTTTTTTTTCCTGATTTGCAAATGAACTGAAGGGAACAATAAAACTCATGAGGAACATACTCCTCAGAATAATCACCCATACAAGACCAAAAGGATAGCATTTGCCCCCAAAACAAGGCTAAGAAAGGAGGAAAGAAGAACACATGGAATTGTGGGCAGAGAGCTATTATATTGAGGGAATTGCAACTAAAGTTATAAAGCAAAATATATGTGAATTGATGAATGGAAAATGAATTAGCACTCACTAGTGTTATTGGTCCATTTATAAATCAATGTAAACTTCTTAAAATAACCAGACATCCTGAGGGAATGAATCACTGGGCCTGGGGGCTCAGGACCATAGTCCTGACAAGGTCAATTAGTATAAATAACATAGTCCACAAAGACAATGTTCCACATCTTACTTTGGTGAGTAGCTACGACAGTCTTAAAAGCTCATGAGTGGCCACGGAAGGTATAATTATTGGTTTCTCCCTTTCCAGATGAAAGAAGACTGATGAAAATAGAAGACACATGGAAACAATTAATCCAGTCGTGTGACCATGAATAATGTAAAGTTTTTTGCTTTTGTTTTTGCTTTTTTACTGTGCTGTCAGATTGCCTGCTGGGTACACTCTTAATCTGAGATTCATTTTCTTGCCTAGAACTTTCTTGAGTCTTCAAAGAGTTCATGGAAATACATATTATAAAAACAAACAAGCAAAAAAAAAAAAAACTATGCAAAGATTTAAAAAAATATTTGTACCAAAATAAACTTGTACTAAGACCTGGTGTGGCACTATAGGATAAGCACTGGACTACTAATTGCAAATTTGGCAGTCAAGACCCACCATAGAATCCTCAGGAGCTCTATACTGGGTCGGCGAGTTAAAACGGACTCGACACTTAACAACAACAGCAACAATACAATGTTATAACATGTCCGAACAGGATCTAAACTGAGGCGCTAAGAAGACTAATATATCCATTTGAAAAGGCCCCTACAGAGCAACGTGAATTCTGCTAAAACTGAAGCAAGGAGAACATTAAATCTATGGCGAAGGTTGGGTGGAAGAATGGTGACATCGTCAGTGCTTTCAAAACGTTTATGGAAACAATGTCCCAGAAAAATTACTGTTATTGTTAGTAAGTGTTGTTAAGATTCTAATTCATATCGACTTTGTATAAGGTTTCTGAGGAGTGGACGGTGGATTTGAACTACTGACTTGTGGTTAGCAGTCTAGTGTTTATCCTATAGAGCCACACCAGGACTCCCCCAGAGAAATCATTAGTTTGAAAAAGAGTAGCTCGTTTTAAGAGGGGGCACGATGGTGTTAAAGATATAGCCCATAGTGGCAGATGAGCCAATCCGTTTGTGAGGAAACACTTAATCTTGTTCCTGCCTTAATTTAAAAAGGACTAATGATTAACAGCAAAGAGCTCTGGTAGCATAGTGGTTCCAAATCGGGCTGCGAACCGCAAGGTCAGCCCTTTGAAACTACCAGCTGTTCCGCGGGAGAAAGATGAGGCATTCTGCTCGCATAAAGATCTACAGCCTCGGAAACCCTGTACAGGGGTCGCTATGAGTCGGAACTGACTCCACAGCACATAACAACAACAACAATGATTAGCAGCAGAAACAATAACCAACACTATAGACAGCTTGACTGATGTAGCTTGCACAATTCTTCTGAAAAATTAATATTGAGCAAACTTTCCACTCAATGACTGCCAAGTCAACTTCAGACAAAAGCAGAGCTATCAATGGAAATATTAAACAAGTGGGATCAAAATTCTGAAGCATTTCTTTCAACAATTTTAACAGGAGATGAAGCATGGCTCCTCTACCATGATAACGCTCCAACTCACGATCCTGAAGACAAAGTACAATCAAAGAAGTGACTACCAAGAGATGGAAGTGATGCAGCCAAAGCGTAGATCAGGAGCAAAGATCATGGCAACAGTTTGGGGATGCTCAAGGCATTTTGCTTGTTGATTTTCTGGAGGGCCAAAGAATGAGAATATCAGTTTTGAGAAAGTTTGCCAAAGCTTTGCCAGAAAAACATCTGGGAAAGCTTTAACAGAGCTTCTTCTTTATCACGGCAATGTTCCTATTCACTCCTCTCATCAAACAAGGACAATTTTGCAAGAGTTTCGATGAGAAATTATGAAGACATCTACCCTACAGTCTTGCTTTGGCTCCTTCTAACTTTTGTTTATTTGCTTCCTAATCTTAAAAAGTCTTTAAAGGGCACCCACTTTTCTTCAGATAATAATGCAAAACAGACTGCTTTGTCATGGTTAATTCCCCAGGACCCTCAGTTCTTTAGGAATAGACTAAGTGACTGGTATCATAGCCTATGGAAGTGTCTTGAACTTGATGGAGCTTATGCTGAGAAATAAAGTTTGTATTTTTATTTCTATCTTTCAGCTCCATTTTTCATTGAACTTTTTAAAGTCCACTCCTACTTTGCATTCATCACTTCATATGGTATAGGTACTATTACATATTTACATGTAGAGAATATTAGCTTTATAGTGTTCAAATAACTTTGCCCATGGTCATTTTAGTAGGTGGTAAGGATGGTTTTTGAATCTAGGCAGTATGACTCCAGAGCCCATGTTCTTTGTTACAACAATTCTTTATGGTTTACCAAACTAAGAAGATCTACTTCAAATTCAAATTAGATGGTTTTAAGACAAAAAGGGAAATGCCTCTTCTTCTCTCTCTTTATATACAGATCTATCTTCTTTGTTATAACTCTCTTCAATTTGGTGAACACAAAGCAGTGTATTTATATGCATATGTATAAGTGTGTATGTGTGTATGCTTGTATATATATGTAAGCATGTGTATATATGTATGCATGTACATATATGGATTTGCTGTTATGTGTCATTCAGTGGTTCCCACTCATAGTGACCCTATATAGGGTTTCTGAGGAGCTTCTGGTGGGTTTCAACCTCCAACCTTTCAGTTAGCTGTCCAGTGCTTATCCTACAGTGCCACACCAAGACTCCTACATATGTACAAATGTGTATATAAATGTGTGTGTATGCTATATGGATATGTATGTATGAGAAGGCTTCAAAAAGTTCTTAGAAAGAATGCAATTAAAAGAGAGGAATTTTTCCATGAACTTTTGAAGTCCCCTTTTATATGTATATAAACACCCAGACACACACATGAGGCTTCAAAAAGCTTATGGAACATTTTCTTTGTATTTTAGTTTCATTCTTTCAAGAACTTTCTGAAGCCCCCTGTCTATCTATCTATCTATCTATCTATCATCTACCTATCAATCATCTATCTACCTAAAGAGCCCTGGTAATATAGTGGATTATGAGCTAGGCTGCTAACTGCAAGGTCAGTGGTTTGAATCTACCAGTC